ACAGTTGTCCAAATACATTAATAATAATACAAAGTAGTAGCAATTTCATCTTAAAATTAACAAGTCCAAACATATAGTACTAACAGTTCAAATTCAAGATAACAAGACAACAACTACACAATCCTTATAGGCTTCACCAAAACATCAGTGGATAAATACTTATCAAACTGCAACAATTCCCACAAAAATTTCCAAGGCATTAGCCGCCTCCTCCGATATGATAACAATAATAGTTGATTTAGAATTTTTATTTCACACAATACATGCACTTCCACAAGCGTTGAAGCCCTCAAATAGTCGACCAAAATAAACTGGATGTTGTTTGTCAAATGCCTAACCTGCAAAAAGAAACCATAGAGTAATCCCTATATGAAAATAAATTTTGTTATAGAAATTAAAAGCCTAAAGTATAAGATAAAATACTTACACCAGGAGAAACTAGTAATGTCTATGAAGAATGAAGATGAAGCAACTGAAGAGAGCGGTTGAGAAAGAATAGGAGAGAATGAACTAAAGCCCTAGCGTGCGCGCGCGCGCACACACACACACACACACACACATATATATATATATATATATATATATATATATATATATATACTTAAGGATAAAGTCGTAATTTTATTAATTTTTATTTGGTTATCGGTTAACCCTTAGCAAAATTGGCAAACCGAAGCCCGAATCGATATCCTAATAGTAAAAAAATTATAAGAGATTTTTTCCTTTCTATACCATATATGAAACTTTATTACCAAATATGTGCATAGTATCTAAATTACCCGCCTAGTCCACATTTTTCCTACAATTTTTGTATCATTCGTTTATTAGGAATTAATAGGATAGAATCTTCCCCTAATAACGCGCGAAAAATCAGCAAAGAATCTTGGGATTGATTGATTCTACATTAAATTCAAGTTTTGAAACGGAAAGAAGATTTCGCAACAATTGCAGAACATATCTTCGAGATTCAACAAACTGAATTCAAATTGTAGAATATTCTATTCTTCGTCGTTTTCATAAATCAAATTGGCGATCGTATATCTGTTCTTCATCTTTTTTTTTCTCAATCTAGAAATCCAAAAAAATGAAAAAATTTAGAATAATACATCAGCAACAATACGCAATCATGTCCAAAATTGCAATCATGCTACAACTGAATGGGAATTGGGATAACTATGGCAGATTTAGAGATTTTGAAGTTGATGTCATTGTGGTAGATGAGAATGCAAGCTACAGTATTCTGATTTCTACAATTGCAGAACAACTATTTATTGATACTTCAGAAAAAATTGTAGAAATCAAATACATGGTGAACGACAATTGTCCCCTAATGGAGATTAGGAATGATATGGGGGTTCGTGTGTATATGGAGACCAAAAAGGAGAATAAAAATTTAGGTTCATATCCGTTATGTATAAGTGTACGAGATTTCAATATGGAATTAGCAATCACCAACGATAACACAAGTGCATGTTTGTATAGTTCGAAATTTCATAGAATTATGATTTTACGGTATTATCTACAAAATTACTACATTTACCTACAATTAAACTGCAAATCAGTTTAATGAAAGAATAAAGCAATGTTGTTTTAAAAATTATCTACAAAGTTACTACATTTATACGACAAAATAAACTACAATATATGATTAGAAATTGTTGATTTCAAAATGTTGTCTTCAAATAAAACTACAATCTATGTTTAGAACAAAATCTAGTCAAATAAAATACAAATCAGTTTAATTATGCACGAAGCAGTATTGTTTTCACAAATTCCTACAAATTGCAATAGTTATAGTACAATTTAACTACAATGTCTGACATCCTAAAATGGATGACTACAAAATTTTGACTATATCTACAAATTATCTACAAAGATTCTACAAAATTATAATGATACTGTTTATCTTTATTTTGATGCAGGTTCGTCTGGATCCCTAAAGTTACTTGATATGCCATCCTCTCCAGCTATAGAGGATTATCAAAGTGAAATAATAACAGAATCTACGCAAACTGTTATTGAAGAAGGACAAGTGTATCAGGACAAGCAAACCGTAGTTGCTGCAATGAAGCACTTTTCTGTGATGCACAAGTTCCAGTTCAGAGTTAAAAGATCTAGTCATAGAAGGTATAGAGATATTTGTGGTGAAAATATCGTTACAAGCAGTGTTTTACTGAAGATATATGTTTTTTAAACATTGTAGATAAATTGTAGTTACATTGTAGTTAAATTGTAGTTTTATGTTACTTTATGTTAAAACAGTCCTTTTGTTGCATCTACATTTATAATCTGTATTAAATATTGTATGTTTTTGTAGCTACTGGCTTGTATGCGTTGGTGAAAACTGTAAATGGCACTTCAAGGCAACGTCAATTAATGATTCCGCAATGTTCAAGATAAGGAGTTTCAACCGACAACACACATGCTCCTTAATGGACGAAACATTCATACAGCGCAAACGTATTGCAGTTGTAGTTGGTAGCATGGTCATTCGAAAGTATTGTGATCCTAAGACTGTTTACACATCAAAGGACATACAAACTGACATGTTATCCGAACACGGAGTGAACCTAAGCTACATGCAATCATGGAGAGCAAAGGAAAAGGCTTTACAGTTTTTGAGAGGGAATCCGGCTGACTCCTACAGCAAATTACCCAAATATTTTTATATTCTTGAGGAGACTTATCCTGGTTCGGTTGTTAAATTGAAGAAGACAACAGATGAATGCTTCTTATATGCATTTGTTACTCTTTGTACATCAATAAGTGATTGGAAATATTGTAGGCCAGTAGTAGTAGTTGATTGGACATTCTTAAAGTTAGCCTACAAGGGGATTATGCACCATGGATGCAGCAGGTAAAAAGTGTAAAGCTTTTGTAGTTATTTTGTAGGCAATCTATAAAATGTAGATACGTTGTAGTTATTTTGTAGATATTACATGAAATGTAGATAAATTATCTATATTATGAAGATATATTGTAGTTGTTATGTATTTATATTTTTATATACATTTTCAAAGCTGACAATTAATATTTTATGAATTAATAATGTAGGTACAATATTGTCCTTGGCATATGCTGTGGTTGATTCTGAAAATGACGAATCTTGGAAGTGGTTCTTTGAGCAATTCAAACAGGCATATGATGAAAGACCATCAATGTGTGTTGTTTCAGATAGGAATGAGAGTATACTGAAGGCAACATCAATTATTTATCCGGGCATGACACACTACTCTTGCATGTGACATATTTGGACAAATATAAGGTCAAAATTCAAGAAGGGTCATCTACAATTACATGAATTGTACTTTGCTACAGCACGGTGATACACTCTGGATGAATTTAATGAAAGGATGTCGAAGATTGAAGAGGTAGACCCGCATGTGAAATCTTACCTATATGATATTGGCTATCATAGATGGTCAAGAGTACATGCAACTGTGAATAGAACGTGGACAATGACATCAAATATTGTAGAGTCATTGAACGCTGTAACAAAAGATGCAAGAGAGTTGTCGATATTTGACCTTTTAGAGTATATGCGGACACTACTAGAACGTTGGACCAACGAGAAGTTATTGAAGGCGAGGGGTACTTTCACATTTCTTGGGTCCAAATTCAACAAAGAATTAAAGAATAACATAACATTATCTTAGAAGCTTAGGGTAAGATCTGTTTATTTGGTGCAGAAAAAATAAATTACTTAATATGCAGTGTTTCCATATTGTAGATAAATTATAGTCAAATTGTAGATAATTGTAGGTCGTAGATAAGGTGTAGAATCTTTGTAGATGATTTGTAGATAGGTTGTAGATAATCTATTTTTATGATTGAGATAATATTTTTTCTGTTTGTTCTGCAATTGTAGGTGAGGGCTTCAACAGATCATATACATACTGTGTTAGATGGTGTGAAGCGGTACATTGTGTGTCTAGAAAATAAGAAATGTACCTGTGGCCAATTCCAACTTGAAGAACTTCCAAGTGCGCATGCTTTGGCAGCATTAAGGCACAGGAATGAAACATATGAAAACTATTGCTCTTCGTATTACACAAGGGAGAGTCTTCTGCGTACGTATGAAATACCAGTAAATCATCTTCCTGATGAAAGCAAATGGAATGTGCCACAACATATTTTGGATGAGGTAGTAAATCTACCGATGGGAGATAAAAGGCAGCCAGGGAGACCTCAAAAGGAAAGATATAAAACATATGATGAAATAAAGTCAAAGAAATACAAGGTCTCATGTGGAAATTGTGGAGGTGAAGGGCTTAACAAAAGATCTTACAAGAATGCGCCCAAGAAGAAATGAATATCATGTAGTTAGAATAGTTATTCAAACTAACTGTTAGTGAGTTAAAGTTAGCAGATTTTTTGTGTAATCGTTTAAGTTTTTAAGGATCATTATGAAGTAGACTACAATTTGTTTATATGTGTTTAATATGCTTTTATGTATTGTGTCAGACATCTAAATTTGTCTTTGATATAGTGTAATTAAATTTTAATATTTATTATCTACAATACAACTTATATAAAATAAGTAACTTTAATGTAAAGTGTTTCCAGATTGTAGGTAAAATATAGGTTAGATGTAGTTAAATTGTAGTCTTGGTAATAATTTGTAGATGATTTGTAGATAAATTGTGAATAATATATTTCTAGGATTGGAGTATTTATTTCTTCTGTTTGTTGTGTAATTTAACTTCAACGGACAGTTATATACAGATATTACCTAGAACTTAAAGGTATTTCGTAAAAATTATGAACATATACAAATACAAAATTATATACAATAACTACATTGAATGTTTCCAAAATATAAATATTGTCTATATTATTTGTAGACAAATTGTATTCTAACATCAAAATACTCATATTTAATATAATGAAGATATAGTGCTGCAAACAACCAATTTATATTCAAGTGAACAACTAATAATGAAGGATAAAATAACAAAACAAAAAGGTATGCTGAAATAAAAAAATAAAAATTTTGTTCATAAAGTAGTGTATTCTCCTTCAACTACAAATTGACATCAACTAAACTAGGAAAACAGGACTTTATTTCTTCTTTCTCTAAACTCTAGTCTTTTCATTCAAAGCAGGAGCACCCTTCCTCCTTGCTAGCCTGCCTGTAACTTCACTTTCACTGATTGACCCATCTTCTTGCTTCTTTGTAGCATAGTCTCATAGGAGAGCTCCATAGCGTCTACGGTGTTGGTCGATATCCGAAAGGTCCTGAAGGGATTGACAAATCTCCAAGGCTAACATACTCCGCAAAAGCAGCCACAAATACACCACAATCGCTGCATAAGACAAAAAAATTTAATTATTTAACAAATGATTATAAAAAATAATTAAACAAATAGAAAGAGAGAATAGTTTTTTTTACAGTGATCCTTCCTTTTGTTGTGGAATCTCCGCAACCATCCACTGTATGTTGAGAGGGTCTGTAACTGGTTTCTCAATGTATGCCTTTGTGGTCTTGAAGTCAATGTCTTTACACTTCTCGTAGAAACCAGTGCAAGACAAATACAGAGGGATAATGATTGAAAGCTTATCAACACATGATTCAACAGCATTATGATGGTGTAAAGACACCATGGAATCATACACATACCGCTATGTCGAAAACGACCAACAACCAATGGAAATTCTCTACAATGTTCACGGGCATGATGACATAGTCAACTTCATTTCAGGCAACATTAGCAAGAAGTGTATACCCAAGAATATATTCTGCAACATCATCATCGGGTTTAACAACCGAATACTTTTTTTCTGGTGGAGAACTTATGAACTTCTCATAGATTTGTTCAATCTTTGACTTGAACAAGCAATCGGTTGTTGTAAACCTAGTGTTGTTGTTGTTGGGGACATATTTGCCTCTTTTTCTCAGGTAATACATAATAACATCAATGTGCTGCAAAATAAAATAAAATCTACTATAACCTACAGTGTAACTACAATTATCAACAAAGCAGCTACACTTTAAACTACAAAGTCAGAATTCAAATAATCTAACAAATAGCTACACTTTAGCTGCTATACACAACAACAAATAGAACACAGCAACTACCATGAGGTCTCAATAATATCTATATTCAAACTACAGTTAATATTATAAGTCTTCAACTTGCTCTACAAATTAACTACAATCATGAAATACAGATATACCAATTCTGTCCAAATTACCAAATATACAATTTTTACATACAATTCATCATAAAATATGATACATAAGGTCCAATCTAAATACAATTACATTATAAATAATAAGAGTAACATTTATAAGAAATGTCTACATTATATCTACAATTTATAATAAAAGGCATGGTCACATATATTTCATATCTACAATATAACTACAATTATACTACAAAACAGAACACAAAATGTCCCGACCCCAATCCCGGTCGTGATGGCGCCCAACACGATGCTAGGCAAGCCCGACCAATTACCACTCACAATCCCTTCTTATTAGAATTCATTACCAGTTTTCAGAAATAGATACCAATTTAATATAAGTAGAAGTCTGAAATAAAAGATTAAAATATGTGGAAGGCCATAATGAAATCTCTATAAATGCCCAACGATCTGGTGTCACAAGTCTAAGCCTCTAATACAATGTTTCTACAGCCTAATGCAGAAGTATGTCTAAAATGCGGAATAGTAAAGAAAGATAGAGGGAGAAATCGAGTCTGCGGACGTCATGTAGCTACCTCGATAACTCCGATGAAAAACTGAACGGCAGGAAAGCTCGCTCTACACCTCAGGTACACCTGTACCTGCATACACGGTGCAAGGAGTAATGTGAGTACTACGACCCAGTGAGTAATAATAATAAATAATGGTTGACGGTATGAAATCACGTAAAGGCACTAAGCAGTTCTATATCAAAGCAGTAAAACCGTTTAAAGAGAAAGTAGTAAAGAAAATTGAATGAAACTCTTTGAACTAGGTGAAAACAGGTAATTTGACAGGCATTAATCCAGTATAAATTCGCTCCTCGAGCATTTCT